TAATCGAACGCCTGCATCAGATGCAGATGATAAAGCTTAACTTGTGCGTAATGTGCAATGGTCCTTTAACTTTGATTTCCATCAGTTTTCCATCAGTCTCCCAAGATTTTGACAAATCAATAGCTCACACTTATTTAATAAAGTCTTCTTGTTGTAGTAATTAATTACCAGATGTAAGGGATAAAACAGGGATCTGTTTAGGAGCTGGTAAAAGATTGCTTTTAATTCTCAAGCGGCCTGTTGTGACGATTGCTTGGCCTTTCGTTTTATCTCACACGTCACTTTAGATAGCTCAGCTGACATCCATCAGGACAAATACAGAGGGGAGAGAAGAGAAAAGGTGACAGAAGAAGAAAAACACATTCACAAAGGTAGAAGGGGATAGATAGAGAAAGAGACTCAAGAAACCAGAAGATAAAAAGAGAGCGAGAGTTGCTAGCTGACAATGAGCCCAGAAAAAACATCCATTGTTGAAAAGACACACAAGTTCTCATAAATTACAGACTGTGGTCCTGTACAAAAGAAAAATATTTTATTTAAAAACATCAGTGTGCACTGCTCTGACTGGAGATACTTTTTATTTTCAATGAAAAAAAAAAAAATTCAACAAATTCAAACTAATTTAATTTCAGGAAAAAATCAATAAAATGCAATATGTGCTGCAGTTACTATTTTCATTTGCAGTCAAATTTTATACATTTTTAAATTTTAAATCATTATCATTCATTATCATTCTCAGCCATAAAACACGGCTTTTTAGCACAACCAGTACCATAATAAACATTAATTATTCAATGACTTTTTTTAATATGCAAATTAAATATGAAAAATAAAAGGAAATGTGCATAGGGAAAAGAGAAAACGGAGTTTCAGAAAACAATATGGTGTTCTGAATGTTTATTTATTTTTTTTTTTTTTGCATGTTGCTAAGTGGTTGCTGGGTGTTTAACTTTCTCCACTTAATTCTTGTGCCTCTTCAAACATCATTATTTTAGAAGCACATACGCTGTTAAAATAAAATGTTGTAATAGTGTTCAGCGACCAATCAAAACCTCTCAGTTCTGTCGCTGATCTACACTTTCCTTGTATAAATGATAATTCGGAAAATTAAGAAAATGAAATACTGCATGTTCAGATGCAAAAGCCTGTGGTTTATTCGAGCCTCTCATTACCCTTTTCTGACATACTGGGCTTGGTAACGTAGCGTGTGATTAGCTGGAATGGCTGAATTGGATAGAATTTCAATTACTGCATGTCTGGTCACGTCTGAGAGAGTCACACCTGGGTGAGGAGAGCACAATCACATGAGGGCCACGGCTCTGATATGCTGGAAAAAGAACTTCACAGGTTTGGGAAGGCACTTTGATTGCCATTGTTGAACAGGTGAATGAATTTTCCACACAAAAGTATTTACGTTGGATTATTCACATGTGAGTGTCTCGTGTGGCTATTATGCGGATGAGCCGAGCATTATGACCTGAGCATTATGACCTGACACATGTAAACACCTGGTGAGTACTTTGCTTTCGCTCTCTCTCTCTCTGGGATGCTCTACGTGGTGCTGTCTGTCTATGACACCTACTGTAACACACTATAACATACACACAGATTATCAGCCAATCAACACATTTCCCAAGTGGGCTCTTCTAATCATTGGCAGACCACTTAAGGACCCACAGCTATCAAATACGCCGGTACTTTGAAGTGATAGTTAAAACAGTGTCTGAGTGCAGGGGACGAGAGATTGTAGGTGTTTATGGAGTGAGTCTGATTGGGACGGATCCCTTCTCTTGACATCTGGTCATCAGAATCTACAGAGGAAGATCCTTTGGGTTTTACACACACAAACCCACATTTACAAACCAGATTCTCTTCTTAAAATATATATTATAATTTAAAGTTGAAACGAACTTTTCCAGTGTAATTTTTTTTTGTTCTTCCCTGCTGGGAAGAAAATCTCACATAGACTCACATAAGACTTGAGTAATATCTAAGGACCAGATGAGAATAAAACTTGGCTTTGACTTGGGCTAATAAGAACCCACCCAGAAAACCATATCACCCACCTAGCAACCACTCAGAACACCCTAGCAAACACCTAGCAATACCCTTGCAGTGCATTAGCAACCACTCAGAACACTTTAGAAATCACATTGCAACACCCAAGCAATGATGTAGCAACCAGCACCCAAAACACCCTATCACCCACCTAGCAATCCATCAGAACACCCTAGCAACACCCTAAAGCACAGCCGCAGTCCTGCAGTGTTTAGCTCCAACCCTAATCAAACACACCCGAACAAGCTAATCCGTGTCTTCAGGATTACTCTGCAGAACAGTGGAACTCCAGGACTGACGTTGCCTATCCCTGCCATAGAAGTTCTGTAGCAACCACCCAGAAATGTACTGGTAATTTTCTGCCCCTTTGCAACCCTACTCAGAACACCCTTGCAATTTTATAGCTACAGTACCAACCAGAAAACTCTCTCAAAAACCTAGCAACGCCCAAGCAACCACTCAGAACACCCTAGCAATTCGGTAGCAACCAACCAGAAAACCAATTACCTAACAAGGCCGTAGCAACACCCTAGCTACCACTCAGAACACACAAACAACCACAAAGTAACACAACAGAAAACACATTAGTAACAGACTCACCCTGGGAACCACTCAGCAAATGTAGTATAATGTGAAATAACAATAGTCCCTGATATCATTCCAGCACAGAATGGAATGGAATATCTAATATGATGCACCCCACCCCAACCTCTATGTGCCTTATTATGCCTTAATTTTTCCATCAATCTTTGAAAGAAATCAGCAGTCAGCATGGAGATTAAATTTGGCAGTAATAGGTAACTCAGTACTGGAGTTAATACAGCCGTAGAGAGAGAAAGCGAGCACATCAGGAGCATTTTCCTGAAGTTATTCTGACAGGCGCACACACTCAGCAGAACTAGCGTGTGTGATACTAGCGTTCCAACTAGCGTTTGAGAGCCCTGTGGGTTGGCAGGCAGCACTATGCAGGTTTAAGAGTGGCTCCAATGAGCGTTTGTTGGCTTCCTCAGCACTTTTTCTTCTTCAAAAAGAGCAGGAAGAGATTGAAATAGTCAGCAATTCCATTCCAGACTCCATCCATGAACACAAAACTGTCACATCCCCCCCAGTGAGCTTCACATAAACACGAGGAGCTGAGACCATCGGGAAGTCATACGAGTCTTGTTTTAGTTCGTGTTCTCAGTTATCTAATGTCTGTGAGTAATGCTGACATTGAGGAGTGACAGAGCAAACTGAAAATAGCTTCTGGGTATAAAATAAGTCAGAGAAGCAAATTCATCGGAGCACTGCTACATTTGGTACGACCTCCCAAAAATATCCAATGCTGATTCAACAGGGGTTTTACAAACAAATGGAATAGGAAATAGCTTATTTTTTATAAAAAATAAAATAGTGTTAAAGCACATTATATTTCAAGTCTTACAGCTTTCAATGAAGAAATAACTAATTCTCTATTACTATACTATTTTTATTATACTATTATACACAAATATTTAAAGATAACATGAAGTGGAAATATATAATATAAATATAAAATAATATAATATAATATAATATAATAGATTACAAAAAAGCCTACAAAACAACGAAAAAAGTTTCGGCCTTGTTTTCATGAGACGATGTATTGATTGTGCAGGGTCAGACACGCTGCTGTACATCTGCAGTACAGTTTCTCTTTCTATTCGTACAGTTCTCCATTAAAATCAGCTGCACTAATAGCCTGTGAGAGGACTGAAAGTGTCCTTCCTTTTCTTCTCCCATCCAGCATGAGGGATCCACAGAGCCGTACTGACAGAAACTAATGGAAGTAATCCAAGTTGATTAGCAGACACCAAAGCCATCACTTGTTTTAACACCCAGCTGCAAATGACACAGAGACTAAAAAAATGGTGTAGAGATGGGGTACTTTGTCTACATAGTGTCTGTGGGTGCGTGTACATTATATACACACACACACACACACACACACACACATATATACATACATATATACATATACATACATATACATATACATACATATATACATATACATATACACATACATATACATACATATATATACACACACACATATACACATTCATACACACACACACACACATATATACATATATATATACATATATACAAAACGATATCCTTATCATATACATATATACATATACATATACATATACATACATATACATATACACATACATATATATACACACACACATATACACATTCATACACACACACACACACATATATACATATATATATACATATATACAAAACGATATCCTTATCAGACAGTGTATAAAAAAGCTAAATATTTAATTTACCATTAATATATACTATTTACTAATAGGCCTATATATTTTTTCCCATAAATAAAACATTCCCATTTAATAATCATTATAACAAATGTACAAATAAATAATAATTAGGGTGGGTGAGAGAGAGAGAAATTAATAATCATCATAAAATTCATAATAAATCAAAATATAGACATCTCTAAAATATATTTATAAAATATGTTAATTTACATAATATTATTTGTTTGTTGCTTACTCCCAGTTGTAAGGCAAAATAGTGTTCCATATAACTAACCACCATTGGAACATTACATTGGAAAATAAATAAATAAAATAATACATTTTTAAAAATCCTGGAATAAAGATATATAGGCGGATGGTTAGATTACAACATATAAAAGGGAACAGTAAACACAATAGAAATACAGAGAGAGAAAGAGGAAGGAAAGATGCATGGAGAGAGCTAGTTTGCTATGCATGAAGGTTAAGTTGGCAGGACGCTCTATGGAGACTCACTGATACACTGATAGTTTTTGCCTGCAAACGTACATGTGTTAAATTCACTCCACCTGCTTTTCTATTGCTGACTGTCTTTCTTTTTGTGTCATCATCTCATCTCGGTCTCTTTCGCTCTTTTAGAACGACTCCTGGGGAAAGCAGTACTCTTACGCCCTATTCAAGGCCATGAGTCACATGTTGTGTATCGGGTATGGAGCCAGAGCGCCCGTCAGCATGTCAGACCTTTGGATCACCATGCTAAGTATGATTGTGGGCGCCACCTGTTACGCAATGTTCGTGGGTCACGCCACAGCCCTCATCCAGTCTCTGGACTCGTCTCGACGACAGTACCAAGAGAAGGTAAGCGCAGCCTCGTTGGTTTCATTCACATAGCTGTTTGTTTGCAGGTATTCACACGTTATTTCGATATTTACACCACCATGCCTTCGCTGGACGTGCATATGATGTTACAACATCTCAATAGCGTAGTAATCTGTGTCGTCATCGTGTATCACATTATAAGCTCATTGCTCATCAGTCATTCAAGAATGACATCAATATTGATCTCACGTCAAAGAAATTCTAGCTACATGCGTTGCACGCTTCAGACAACATGTACAGGTTCAGGGCTGGAATCTATATCTACAGGGCAAGTTATTGGATATGTTTGGATGAGCGGTATGACCAAAATGAGCAATTTTGTATAATTGCAACTGTATATATATATATATATATTACAAAAAGATAATAATCATTGATATAATAATAATAACAATTGACAATTAACATTCATAATTATTGATAATATTTTGGAATAACCAAAACATATGAATTGTTAATATTTAATTTTCTTGTTTATAGAAAATTATTATTAATATAATTATTTTGATAATTATGAAAATTCCTTCTTTTGTAATATTATTGTTATTGCTGTAATTATTATTATTATTGACTAATCAAGGAAATTGATTCTTATTTATTAGTAATTAATATTCTTTATTATTCAAAAATATTATGATTAAGTTGTATTATTGTTATAATAATAATAATACTTATCATTATTATTATTTCTGAATAATCAAAGAAAAATGACTATTATTATTAAATAATATTCTTTATCCAAAAATATCGTGCTTAAGTATTATTATTATTATTATTATAAAAATGAAGGAATTTTCTTAATTATTAAAAACAACAGTGACAAAAAAACAACAACAATAATAATATAAACAAAGAAATTAAATATTAATTAGTCATTCATGTTCTTGGTTACTATAATAATAATAATTATTATTATTATTAGAAATTAGGAGGAATTGTATTATTATTAATAATAATAATAATGATAATAATAATAATAAATGTTTCAATTATAGTAATAAATAAATTAAAAATACTTTAAAAAAAGAATAGCTTTTACTATAAAAGTATTATTATTATTATTATATTATTATTAAGTAAAAAAATTTAATTAAGTAAAATTATTTTACAATCAAAGTCTTGCATAAGTTCAATAGTAACCACCTAAACTTGCCTTCTCATTTCTAGTTTCTCCCACACATTCTGCTCTTTATTTTCTCGTAGTGCTTGTTTCTTTGTCACGCTCACTTGTAAACAGCATATAGCAATAGCAGCACATACACATGTAATTCTCACCTGCACCTGTTTCTGAACCAGTGCAATAGCTAACACATTCCTGCAGTTCTCTGACCTCAGCTGTATAGTTCATCACTAAGCTCAATCGAGGATTGTGATGCTTAAGTCATCAACTCAGAGATGCCACAGCATATCGATTTCACTTCCTCTAAACAGCATGCAACTTCCTCCCCAAGAAACCATGAGAGGAGGGATTGGCAGATTATCCCTCATTCTAGCGTCTTGTCTTTGAGGGCTTGTTGTACCATTAGTGGATCATTATATCCCATGTGCTTTCAAAGAGGATTTATCCCAAGTTAACGAAATAAACACTCTCTCCGGGCCAAAGCATGTGCAAGAGCTGCTTTGTCCCATGAGAGAAGGGGGCTTATCTCATCTGGGCTTTGTTTGGGTGGCCAACCCGACCTCAATGAGCTGGGTTAACGTCACAACACACACACAACGTCATGCCAACATGAGCCATCAGGTTCTCTGTTTAATGCCATTACAGTGGATGAGTGGAAAGACGAGATTGAAATAGAGAGAATGGGATTGTGCTCCAGGGAGTTGGCACAGACTAAATGAAAAAGAAAACATACACAACACTGTCAGAAAAAGATTGTACCATTTAGTAAGCTTGTCACAGGGGCAGTATCCTCAAAAAGTACACATATCTACCATTAGATGCGTATTAGTAGTGACCCAGTGAGATGATGTTGCTCTAAAAGTACTTTTTTTCTGACAGTGTACCAGAGAAAAGTATGAATATACACTTAAAATAAACTTAAAGAAATATCACAAATAAGACCTTTTTAACATCTTAGCTTTTGATCCAGAGGTTAAATAGAGAGCAAATTGAGGCTTATGTTTCTCAGATGTTCTTTTTGAAAAAGAGCCTAGTAACTATGAGTCTTTCTTCTAGAGGTTTTGAAGAGATCTCAACAATGTCTCAAACTGTGTATATTTTAATGTATGTATTTATTTTTTTAAGGAAATACCTTTATGTAGCATGTATGCATTATATTTAAATAAAAGTAAAGAATGGTACTACTAATTAATCCGTGTATCATTCGATCATTAGTTTTTTGATTTAATATTGAAAGTAGAAAAATGAGAAAACGGCTCCTTTTTTGTTTTTATCCAAAAAACGAAAAACAAGAATTCAGCTTAAATTTTCGTTTTTCGTTCATGGGTGGAAAAATGAATAAACAGCTTGAATATTCGATTTCTACACGTGGGCGGGAATTAAACGCCCCTTTCTGCTGATTGGTCAGCCGAAGATCAAACCGTGCCATCATCAGTTCTTCCGCAGTATCATGCAGCAGAATAATAGTCCTCCACTGCTGCAGTTATATGGATTCTTAACGCATTTATTGCAACTACATTTAATCTTTTTTCATCAAACAAGCAGGCTAATGAATAACTCGACACAACTCATACTTGGGCAGAGTCTAGACAGGGGTTTCTTCTGTGTAGATATAAATTATATTCTTTGCATCAGCTGGCATGGCAGGGTATGATATGACAGCTGTCTTAGCCTACCCTGCTCACCCAGTAAGTCTGTTTGTTTGTTTAATTAAGAAATTAATTAATTTGTTTCAAAATAAATATTTTAAACACTAAGACAAAAAGGAAGGAATAATAAATTGGCTTAGGGATATATAGGCCTATGTTCACGCAAGAACTGTCATTCTGACTGACAACCGGAGAACAACAGATATTAAATAGCCTACTGTTAGTTATATAATGTGGTCTTGTGTTTTATTAAAATTGATTATAATTTATATCTCATAAGGATATGTACTTGTGTGCAGCGTGAGCTACTGCGCACTCGCACTGCAATGCAAGAGTTTCATAAAATATAATAACTTGACATTTCGGTTTGTTTCTCACCAAACCCTCAGTATAGGCCTACCTTCAGAATGCTTGGAATATACGCCACGAGATGCATAGGATTATTTTACGACAGATGTGCATCCGCTTAAAAACAAAACAAACAAACAAAAAAACTAAAGTCACCATTCTCTGCCATTAAATTGGCAAGTGCCAGCAGGACATTTGTGTGTTATTAAGTAATAAGCCTTTAGAACAACATTAAGGCGAGTAGTCACTCTAGTTCACACAGTTCCAATAAATTGCGATGTTTCAATATTAAATCAAAAAACGAATGATCGAATGATACACGGATTCTAATGGCCCAAAATAAAAGTAACTTTTACATTGTTACGTAAATATATATTTCAAATAAACGATAACACATTAACACACCATTAATAAGAAAAAACGTTTTTTTTAGCAGCAAATCAGCATATTAGAATGATTTTGGAAGGATCACGTGACACTGAAAACTGGAGTAATGATGCTGAAAATTCAGCATTGACATCACAGAAATAAATGTCATTCAAAAATATTAATATAACTAGAAAACAGTTATTTTAAATTGTAATAATATTTCTGTTTTTATTTTATTTTTGATCAAATAATGGCAGTGGAATTTTAATCATTTGAATGGTAGTGTAGCTTTAAACTTTAAACTCCTACTGTATATCAAATAATATCTCTATTTCTCCAAAGAAATTTAACACCAGAGACAAAGTTGATACTTCAAAGAGACACTGACTGAGTTATGAAATTTATAATTATACAATTTCTGTTTGTCAACAAAAATAAGCTTTTAGAAAAAATGTTTGCATTTCTTTATCAAGTGTACTATAAGCTGCCTTAGGAAATAAAATGTCTGCTAAACAACCAACTAAATTTCAGTATCCTCTATATTTATTGTAGTAGCTTATACACATTCCGACATACGATCCAATCAATCTCCAGAGACAAACACAGGCTCATTTTCACTGTAACTCATTCATGACGCTGTTACGGGTTTTAAAATGCCATCTAGGAGTTTACTCACATTCATAAAGTTACATTTTCTCATTACAGCCCGCCCTTACATCTTCTTGATTGGCAAAGCCATTTAGCTGAAACCCTTTAGCGGAACAAAGTGTGGGATTTCCAAGCTAATGAGATTCCTTGCTCTGAAAAACAGGGTGCTGCACACATCCATAGCTCATGCATACCATCAATTCCCCTGTCATGGCCGCCGTGCACTGGCTTATCTGAGTTGCACACGTAGCCGGTGTCACCTTCACCACGACAATGACACAGCGGTCTGAAACGGACAAAAGCTTCTATTAATTTACATCTCTCCTCCTGTCCCGGCACGGACTCTTATCTTCAATTTAAGTATGATTTGTTGACCTTGCGGTGGGGCGTGTAGTGTTCGTCACAAACGAGCTGTGTGACACACTTCACGTTCCTCTTCCATTTAGGATTGCAATGTCACCGCTGTGGTTTCATCCCACCATAATGCCAATTAAAATCCATTGCAAATGGATATTAGATACGGCTCCCCTGCCCAGAGATCTGCAAATGGCATTCATATTGAACGGGCCTCTCAGTGGTCACTGTATGTAAACAGTAGAGGTCAGGTGACAAAGCCAATGTCACTGTCCCATACTGCCGAGAAGAACAGCATCACTGGACACCAGCATACGGTATGTCTTATTTTGGATACTGGTGTGCTGGTGTCCCAACCAGGCTGTTTATAACTTAACTACCATGTTACAGAGCAAACTGTTCAAGCACTCTGTAATGACTGTATCATTTATTTATTCATTATTAATTTGTAATTATAGGGAATTAATGATTATTACCACATTCAGGTTTTG